AACTGTATAAATAGCCAATCAAACAAAATTGGAAGTGTTTTTGCAGTTACTTTCATAAAGTTTGTACATGTTCCACCAATGAGAGGCTAAAAATTATCGAAAGAAAAACTAAGAAGAAAATGAAATTGACTGACTATTCTGAAATTATAATGGCAACTGGTGTTATGTTAGTAATGGCTTATAATGTGCTGCCAAGCTTGAACTGCTATTGGTCAAAACATCCTTCTATGGGAAATACTACAATTAAAAATGCAATGTCGCGCGATCGGTACAAATTGCCAATTTCTAAATTGAATTGTATTTTAATTACCCCGAAAAACCACCAAACTGTACAAAGATTTATTACGTAAAAGAGCTCTTGGAGTGTTTTAAATATACATATCAGAAAGCTAGAACGGATTCGGTTTACCAGTCCATAGACGAAAGCATGGTGAAATTCAAAGGTAGATCCAGCTTGTTAGATAAAATTTTAGGGGAACGGGTGGTAGTATGCAAGCTTACCTTTTCCATAAGAAAATCAGATGTTGTAGTTTGTTTTGTTAGATTCTTTACATCAGTAACGTCAATGAAAACATTACCATACGCAGCAGTAGGGACTTAGCGGCCGAAAAAATATACAAAAAGTCGAGAAAAACTAGAGAAAAGTCAAGCCAAATTCTTCTGTACAAATTGTGGGATAACTTTTACTAGATGGCAAGATACAAAAGAAATGGCAATTAGCAACTGTCACGGGATCAGATAACCATTGTTGAAAGAACACAGAAAAATGGTGTGAAAGCCTCTCTTGAATGCCCCGAGATCATTTCCTTTTACAACAAGTATATGGAAGGTGTTGATTTGACAGACCATTTGACTAGTATCTACGACTTTGATTGAAAGTCTACCAAATGGTGGAAAAAGGTTTTTTACAAAATGATGTTGATGACTGCTGTAAATTCCTACATTATCCATAATGAAGTAGAACGCAAAAAGGTACAATTTTTGGATTTCTTGGTGTCTTTGGCAGAAGGTCTTATTGAACATGGGAAAAGTAAGGCGAATATAAAGAGACGTTCAACATCTGGACGACCTTCGAAGAGGCAAAGAACAATGTTGAATATTGGAGATCACATGCCTATTGTTGAAGAACAGCGGATAAGGTGTACTAGATGCTCACAGAACAATAATGAAAAGCGCACAAGATCAGTCTGTAGAGCATGTGGTGTCCCACTATGTAACAAACGTTTTAGCATGTAAAAGGGATACAGGGGTGGGTTGGCTCGTGGTTAGAGTCATGGCTCTGAGATCGGAAGGTCTCAGGATCGAATCCCACCGGTGGCAGGAATTTTTATTTAAATAAAAAAAAATTAAATATTAATTCTAATGCATAGGTAGGATTCCCCACTCGACCATTCACTGTTGGGTTCTAATTAACAGTGCTGTTCCTAAAGTGGCGCTGGGAAACAGTAACAAAGCCTACACAGAACACTAGGCTAATGGCCGTAGTAGTCGTCTACGCCGATGACACCAAATAAAAAAAAAAAAAAAAAAAAAAAAAGGGATACATACACAATATAAACTATAATATTACGAGTAAACGGCATAAACGGCATAAACGGCATAAACAGCATAAACGGCATAAACGGCATAAATGGCATAAACGGCATAAACGGCAAAAACGAACCAGTTTTATAAAAAATTTAATAATATTTTAGTACTATGTATCTACCAGTGAAAAGTGAAAACTGCCTTTCAAGTACTTTTTACCTTAAACAGCATATTTAACAACCATTTTTCTGAATATTTTACAACAAATTACACAAGAAAATATAAATTTCTACTACAAAAGTTCCACAATGACGCACAACACAATCCAAACAAAGCGTACGTACCCTAAGCTACCTAAAGAGACGACACTGTTTGTCCATATCTTGTCTATGGTTTTTGATCTTTCTCTAATGGATCTGGAATACAATTGATTAGCAAGAATTATTTCGGCCCTTAAATTAAAAATCGCCAATGGGATGACGGGATCCAATTGTCAAAGTATACAAGCAAAACTGTAATGGAAGGGGAACATGATACAACTAAACAAATCTTGACAGTTACTTATTTCATCTGAGCACATGATATGTTGTTATGATATAGGGACCGTGCGTGAAATATAGAGGCAGCACTACTGCCGAACTTAGCCCTCTCTAGTGTTTGATTTTAGAATTAAATGGGGTAGACATTGCAAGTAAATAATGAAGGGTATTTTTTTAAATATTAAATATAGTTAAAAATAGATACCGGCCCGTACCAAACAATCGTGTACATGGTCAAAATAACGTAAAATGTGAAACATTATTAAAATCTGGACATGCATATACATTTTAAGCAAAAAGATTTAAATGGCTAAGTGACAATAAATTGTAAAGTTGTACCTTAAACAAGTGTATCCAATGTTAAAATATAGGTATTTAGTAACACTGAATTTAAAAGTATTACAATAACATTTAAAAAATGTAAATTAATAAAAAAGATTGATAATAATAATTATAAATCTTTTTAGCTTTATGTTAATCGAAATGTCATTCATCCACTGGCGTTTATGAGATGTTCAATGATACATATATTATAGATTGCTCACCCAACTATAAAAAAATTATGAAAAGCTGGTTGCAATGTGCCTTTCCTAGTGCTCACTAAATAGAGCCGTTCTAGCCCAAATGTGTTAAAATAAAATTTCAGCATTTTAATCTTTAGAAAAAGATAATAATTAAAGTTTTACTTCAAGACATGTCATTATGTATTTGGAAAGTTGAGTTTTCATGTAGTTAAATAATATTAAGAGATCTAAACAATTTTTATAACAGATGGATATAAATAATTTTAGACTACTATTTCAGAAACAATTCTACATAAAATACATAATTGCAATATGTAATACAATTTTGAAAAGGTAATGTAAAGAATTTTGATATGAGGTATGAACAACTTTGGTAAGAGTTGTAATTGGACACTTATCTATTATTCTGAATAATGTTTAATGGTAATGTCACTAAAAAAAATAAATTACAAAAAATCACTGGATTTTTAATATTTTAAAGTTTGTTACAATCTCTTTTGACAGTAATTGCAATGTATTATTTATGATTTGTTTATTTTAATAATAAATGAGAAATAGTTAATAAATTGTAAAGAGGGCCGTGATATTTTTGTCAAATTGGATATTCTTATTTCATAACATTCTACATTAGTTTTAATCAACAGAATAAACCATTATCTGTAAAATTATATTTATATAAAATGGTCATTTAAATATGTAAAAATCTTAATGACAAGAAAACACTAAAGATTCTAATTTTTCTGTAAATGATTTCTTTACAACTAAGTGCTCAAAATTGATACAAGCTAGATAAAAAGAAAACTTTGCCCAGTGAAATACGCTTTTCGTCGTCTGATTTACATATGGATAAGCAATCTTTGTAATTATGTATATCATTGGGCGTGAGGCATAATTGTGCTCTGTGGAAATTTATAAAATTTCTTTACTATCGAATGAAATCCAGGTTTCTAAAGTGATGTGTTTGTACATCCACGGATGCAACAAGTTTTTTCGATATTGATATTGCGAAAATAATTCGACTTCATTTTATTAATAATTATTAAACAATAAATGCCGTATAAAACATTAATAAATACCCCCCAAAAAGTTCACATTTTTGTCACCAGTTAGCGTTAAAGTCATGACGCACGGTCCCTATGGCAATGTCTGGTGATTTGACAGGCTCAATAATATAGATAGTTGTATAGATTGAGCAACCATGTTTTTAAAAATAAACATAAGCCTTTGCTTTAAAGTAAAAATTTAGATAATAATTTTTTTAATATATTCAAAGGCTGGAAATTAAAGAACTCATTAGAATAGTAAATTTTTAAGAGTATGATTTCAGACCTCGACGAAGGCTTACATTGACTTATCTATTGCGTAAAACTTGATTAACATTTTTTGTTATCTCATAAATTTGTAATTTTGAAATTCATTGTTTATTATTTATTATTGAACGTACCCGTGTCGAAATTTGACTGAGACTGGACCTGTTTTTTTGTCGCGCGCTTCATAAGATTTCGTACTACTCTCAGTGTGTCTCACACTATAATAAAGACTCTTTTATCTGACAGTTGCTTAGTATGATTGAGTACGGACATTTACTGCTGTTACTTTAGCCCATACTTTAGCCCATACTTTAGCCCATACTTTAGCCCATACTTTAGCCCATACTTTAGCCCATACATTAGCCCACTAAACTCCTGGATATGCTTTAGCCTTAAAGACTGTTGGCAATGGTACCATATTATAAAGACTAGTCTTCATATACCATATTTAGGTCAATTTAATAAAGAAGGTTCAAAAAGTGCATAAATTGTATTTTCCCCTTTTAGAACAGCCCGTTATATAAGTTGGCTAAGCAGAGGGTTTAGACATAGTTTAGACAGACAAAGAAGATCAAAATGACATTCCAGACGTCAAAAACAAATTTACATTTTAAAATCTACCTTCCATTTTCAAAATTTAAAAGTAACAAATAAAAGCAATGCCAACGAAAAAGAAGAAATCTGAAGATTTAACAATCCCCTCGTCCGCACATATTAGATATATAATACCATATCCAATTGGTTCTCCTAGCATAGTTACTGGTATTTACAAAATGAATGTTCCTCCGTGGAATCAGCAATATTCTGTTATTTATGGCTTATAAAATAATAAATAAATTTTTCTTAAAATATACGTTGTAAATAATTTTTTTTGGAACAATTATTACCCATAGCTTCTTCTTTTTGGATGTTTTCTACGTTTTTGAAAAGAACAATTATATGACTACTCAGTAATCAGTATTTAACAAATAGATGTGTTTATTTCGATGTAGATACTAATAGAGAATTACAAAATTTTACCTTTTTTTAAATACATACGTGTTTATATATTTTAAAATACTTCCATTTAAAAAAAAAATAATTATTCTAGGAGTTTTATTTGTGTAGGTTATCAGTTGTTATCATGGAATATTGACACATCTAATTGAAATCTAACATTCTAATCAACGTCAAAATTTTAAGTAATATATTTCATAAAAAAAATTACAACCATGCCAAAAAGAGGTAGAAGTCATTGCATTGAAAAACCTAAGCCTATTCCACTACGTCCAAAGCCAATACCACCACCTCCTCCTCCTATATTAATGCCAAGCGTCATACCATTTCCCTACAGACCAGTACAAAAGATATACGTCATTCCTCCACAAGAATATGCAATATATTATACTTCTTGAAACACTACTTGAGGACAACAAAGGTAACTGAAGAAACAATGTAGAGTAATTTTTATCAATTATTACCAATAATCAACACCTTTAATTAAGTAATTAAGTTATTTGTAACCTGAATCTGTAACAGTAACAAAATATAAAAAGCAATGTACTACTATATAAAATAAAATTGACAAATCGTTTTTATTAAGACAATTTAGAGACTATGGCTGCAACATCCACATTATCCTTATTCAACATAGGATATTGACCTTATAACAAACATACAACTTTTTTATTATTTTTTCTACTGTAGTATTCTACTTTTTTTACTGTTTTCTCAATTTACTACTACTATCATTGCTAATAACGAATGAACACAAATCTGTTTTCAAGGCCTGGTACCACAGAATAACCACTATTACAGAAATGAAGGCTTGCGTCGGCACGTTTGATGTCGGGGTGGCCAAAATTTAAAGTGACACTCGCTGACAGTTGACGTTCTTGCCGGTTGTTACACTGGTAAAAATTACCAAGATTCTTATAAGTTCGGATAATACACTGAGAAAAGGATTTAAATATATGTAACAAACTTATTTAGCAACATCCACTATTTCTTCTCTGAATTGAAGGTTAGTGATATAATTAGAAAAAATAAGGCTTCACGATAATTTATTTTGAAGTAAATTGTACTGATCGCTATATTAAAAAAGAGTTTTTACTTGAGGAACCAGACCGAATGCTCGTTGTACTTAATTCATCAGTTTTTTTTAGATAACATTAACTCTTTAACAGAAGGATTCTATTACAAATTATTGATGTTTTAATTAATTGTATACTTTCCTGAAAAACACCTTCAACTGTGATAGTTGGATCTAGAAAAATAGATTAAACTAATAATAACTGGCATTAAAAATGCAAATACTTCCGAACTGTCATTTTGAAAGCCTTTTATGTGTTTTAGAACCTTATCATATGTCAATAATACCATAAACAATCCTTGTATTAAGACTTTCGCCATACTCTTATAATAATTTGACAACTCGGTGGATAAATCTGTGATTTTTACAATTCCATTTTTGTAAACAAAATTAATCTAGTAGTCGTTGGTAGAAAAGCATCACCAATAATTGGCGTATCGATTTATTACACTGTTTTACACTAGCACTAGCTCAAATGGCTTTTCTTTCGAGTCTTTTGTGCAGAGTTATCCAGTAATTGCAGCACTTCATTAACGTGGGAGTGGAGTCGACCCTCATGTTTTGCAGTAACCTCTTTTTCTTATTTGTCTGTATGAAGATAATCGTTTAGATAGAGCCAGGGTGCATCAATGATACATCTTAGGACTTTATTTTGGAAAACTTATATTATGGCACATCCTCGTAGCTGTATTTCATAAATCCAGACGACTTAGGATTTGTTTATAAATCATATGAATTTGTTGTATACATAAATTTGCATTTTTAGATGCATAATGATTAGAACTATGAATTAAATTGAGATTTGTACTGTAGGAAAAAGGTTGTTATAAATAAAACACGTACCCATACTGACTATTAATTTTAATAAACCAAAATACGAAAAACACATATTACAAAAATCAGATTAATAAAAATATCAATATGAAAAATACCTACACATCAAAAGGCACAAAATTTTAGACAAAGGAATATGCCCTAGGTCCTAAAAAATACAAGGTAAGCACAAACTGCTTGTATTCATTGGAATGTCTTCTAGCTAGAGGCTTTTTGTTTTTAAATTCCGCTTGAGATTTAACTAATCTGCAAATGGTTGGTTTAAAAATTGTGGCCCAACCGAAGGATATTTTTGGGACTGGCACATGCATTATCAAAATAGAAACAACAATATCTCTTCAATCTTCAAAGTTAGTTATTCTTTTGCTGGGACCTAAATATTTAAATTAAAAAAATACATAAAAACAACACTTTTATATTATTTTTAATACCTGGTGTACTGAGAAAATCGTCGTGGGATTTAGTAGGGTACAGATTCATTCAGAATGATCAATTATTTCATTTGTTGTGGGTGTGTGTCAGAATATTGTCAAACATACATTTTCAAATAAACATTTCCGAGTTGATCCAAATGAAAAACTACTGGGCTGGAAATGTTTTTTACACAACTGGTAGCTTTTGTGTAATTATTCACTGGTTATATTAATCAAGTCTTCTCGACTACAGGCTCTTAACAACATGGGAAACCTAAAAAAATACAAAATACATTGTCATAGGTAGATAAATATAATTTGATTTAAAAATGATAATAAAATAATTGTTTTGATTAAATAGCCAAATAAATAACATACAGTTAACATTGCTGCATTTGAAAAGTACCTCGTTTACTCATTTTACTCGAAGCCGTTCTCGATGGGATCTGCTCCATGGTCATTTAAATTGCATAATTTATTTTGCATACCTTTCTGAAACTTTGGGAAATGAAAAATAACTAGTATACGAATCCGTTCGAGGTAGACATGGGCGATAAACACATCTCTTTCTTTTAGATTCCATCAGTTCACTAAAAAATTATTTTGCTTTAATAAAATAAATAAAAATATGTAAATAGCTCAGAACATACCACAAAAAGTCTTCCATTAAAAACATGTTTACTGAACAATGTTCATAAAATAGACAAAGGAAAGCACTAAACACACATTTACTCAATAATTGTTAAAAAATATTCAAAGGAAAATACTAAAATACACTTAAATTCGATAAAAAAAAATCATAAATTATAAATGACTGATCCTGACACATCAAAACAACACTCGTGACATAACAGTTTTGCCGGTTATAAAATGGCGGCCCTGATCATGCGCAAAAAATTTTGGACCCCAAAAATTGACGTGCCTTCGCTTCTGTAAAAGTATTCTGTGCTGGTACTTTAAATAGGTAATCACGTTGTTAAACAAATAATAGTATTAAATTATTGTGGGCTTTTTAAAGTATATCGTCTAGCTTGATCTTTTTTATTAGAAAGCATTAACAGTGGCTCCGACTATGAAGACAGCTTCGACATGTAGTTTCATGCGTCTGGCTATTCTTCGCCTAATGTTAGAGAACTCAATCTAGACAGGCCTTTAAACTGTCACAGAACGTAAAATTATTTTCTAGAGCTGGTATTTAAATTTGAAAATTTATTTCTAATTTGGATGAGGGTATGGATATCAGTAGGTATTCCTATAATTTTATCCTTCTTTACTTGCTGGTAAAGCCTCGTATGGTCAGCGCTATGTAGTTGGCTTATTGGGTTTTGCCCCTACATTAGCCTTTGTATAAAGAACCTTGTTTTGCAGTGGCATGAGGTTTAACAGTACCTCTATTGCTGCAGTTGGGGTAGTGGCATGGCATGACCTCAGTGACACTCAGATTTGATTATCAATTAACTTGTCAATTAACTTAATAACATGTATTTATGTGGGATTAATTTTGAATTATTGTCTTATCCATATTCGCTGTAGTTTTATATCGTAACAAAATCGTATTGTTTCTTACGGCCTTGAGTATAACATATATGTTCTTACAAAATGTTTTAGAAAAACAACAGGTAATAAAGACCTGAGCCAATAGGGACCGTGCGTGAAATATAGAGGCAGCACTACTGCCGAAGTTAGCCCTCTCTAGTGTTTAATTTTAGAATTAAATGGGGTAAACATTGCAAGTAAATAATAAAGGATATTTTTTGAAATATTAAATATAGTTAAAAATAGATACCGGCCCGTACCAAACAATCGTGTACATGGTCAAAATGACGTAAAATGTGAAACATTATTAAAATCTGGACATGTATATACATTTTGAGCAAAAAGATTTAAATGGCTAAGTGACAATAAATTGTAAAGTTGTACCTTAAACAAGTGTATCCAATGTCAAAATATCGGTATTTAGTAACACTGAATTTAAAAGTATTACAATAACATTTAAAAAATATAAATTAATAAAAAAGATTGATAATAATAATAGTAAATCTTTTTAGCTTTATGTTTGTCGAAATGTCATTCATCCACTGACGTTTATGGGATGTCCAATGATACATATTATAGATTGCTCACCCATCTATAAAAAAATTATGGAAAGAGGGTGGCAATGTGCCTTTCCTAGTGCTCACTAAATAGAGCCGTTCTAGCTCAAATGTGTTTTAAAATAAAATTTCAGCATTATAATCTTTAGAAAAAGAAAATAATTAAAGTTTTACTTCAAGACATGTTATTATGTATTTGGAAAGTTGAGTTTCCATATAGTTAAATAATATTAAGAGATCTAAACAATTTTTATAACAGATGGAATATAAATAATTTTTTCTACGTTCATGCAAAAACCAAAACTTTATTGAACTATATTTAGCGAAAAAACTGGGTCTTTATTGCACTAGTGCAATAAAAATTTTATTGCACTCATCTGTCATTTTACTACAGCGTTTTATGATCATGACAAACATAAATATTCAAATCAACGCCAAATATTCAGTCCATTTTCATTTTCTGTGTTACGTTTTAAAAACAATTGCATATTTTATATAATTTTCAATCATTTAATAAATAAATTAATAAAAAAATGTATTTTATTAAAAATGTCTTAAGTGTTAAAGAAAAGGTCCTTTATTTCTCACAAGTCAACTTAATTGGCGACCGGTTTCGAAGCTGTCACTTCATCATCAGGCACACCTAAATGGAATGTCAAGGAGTCAGTTGCAATAAAAAACAATTATAAAAGCATGAACGGACTTTAACATAAAAATAACAGAAAAAACACAAAAGAAAGTTAAACAATAACCTTGACTCACCTTGACTATTTCCATAAAGGAAGCGCTACATAAAGTTTATCAAAACGAGTTAAAAAAGTCATATGTAATACAATAGTATTTTTTTAAAAAATATTTTAGGTTAGGTTAAACCGCGAGATGTCTGTTTGAATAAATTAATTAAAACACATGTAAGACAATTATTAACTAAAGAGCACAAAATAGTTTTTACAAGCACAAACATTTTAAAAAATTTTTAAGGATATAACGTCAATTAATGAAAGTAAAAAGTAAAAAAGTAAAAAGTAAAAATTATCAGACTCTCAAGACATCTATCTAGATTTTTAACGAATCAATGTAGTAAACTGTAAATTTTAAATTTAGCGGATAAATAGTGTACTAACTTAATCCCTACTATTCACATATGGCTACCCTCACTCCAAATTAAAAATGTCATTACAAATTATGAACACAAACGTAAATAAATGCCTCAAACAAAGGTACACGATCACGGCTACTGTGATTTGGATAACACAACTGCAGTCCTATAAAACATTTTTTTGTTTTTGCATGAACGTAGAAAAAATATTGTATGCAACTATTAGACTACTCTCATTCCAGAAATAATACTACATAAAATACATAATTGCAATATGTAATACAATTTTGAAAAGGTAATGTAAACAACTTTGAGATGAGGTATAAACAACTTTGGTAAGAGTTGACAGAGTTGTAATTGGACACTTATGAATGAATAATGTTTAATGGTAATGTCACTAAAAAAATTTACAAAAAATCACTGGATTTTTAATATTTTAAAGTTGGTTGCAATCTCTTTTGACAGTAATTGCAATGTATTAATTATGATTTCTTTATTTTAATAATAAATGAGAAATAGTTAATAAATTGTAAAGAGGGCCATGATATTTTTGTCAAATTGTACATTCTTATTTCATAATTAACATTCTACTTTAGTTTTAATCAACAGAATAAACCATTAATTATCTGTAAAATTATATTTATATAAAATGTTCATTTAAATATGTAAAAATCTTAATGACAAGAAAACACTAAAGATTCTAATTTCTAAACCGGTTCTGTAAATGATTTCTTTACAACTAAGTGCTCAAAATTGATACAAGCTAGATAAAAAGAAAACTTTGCCCAGTGAAATACGCTTTTCGTCGTCTGATTTACATATGGATAAGCAATCTTTGTAATTATGTATATCATTGGGTGTGAGACATTAATTGTTGTGCTCTGTGGAAATTTATAAAATTTCTTTACTATCGAATGAAATTCAGGTTTCCAAAGTGATGTGTATGTACATCCACGAATGCAACAAGTTTTTTCGATAATGATATTACGAAAACAATTCGACTTTATTTAATTAATAATTATTAAACAATAAATGCCGTATAAAACATTAATAAATACCCCCATAAAGTTCACATTTTTGTCACCAGTTAGCGTTAAAGTCATGACGCACGGTCCCTATTATACTAATATAAACGATTTCTTCTTGTTAGAAATTAGCAATGCAATATTTTTTATTATGTTTCAGGTTGCGAGAGTAAAGAATTTGACAGCGACGACTACTGGGAATGTGCCTTAAGAACTATTATCGGTAGCCTGTGGCATCAAGTTTCTACTTGTAAAATGGGCCCCAAAGATGATCCAGAAGCAGTGGTCGACAACACCGGCATTGTCCATGGTATCAAAAGACTACGCGTAGCCGACACCAGTATTATACCTTTACCGCTCACAGCTCATACTGCCGGGCCATCTTATATGATCGGAGAGAAGATTTCAGATCTCATTAAAGAGGAATGGAAAGCTAAATAGTTGCGAGAAGTGCGACGTATTATTTTAAGATTGTGTTTCTAGTGAAAATTACGTAAAAGCAAATGAAGGCTGCAATACAATATTTATTAAACCAATTAAAAAATAATTTGCTTTGTTTTTAGTTTTGTCCCAAAAATGGACCGTTCGCGTTATTGATAATATCTACCACTCATGCGCAAATTCTACTTCCGCTTAAAATCATCAAAATGTTATGGGATTTTACAAAACTAAAGAAAATCATACACATATATTAAAATGTTCTGCTATTGATATTTACTTTTAAACTCGTTATTGTTTTTACACTCACGCAATACTTTTTCCAAATTCAAAGTATGAATGCAAAATTGGGACATTTAAAAGTACCTACAAAAAAAAGAAAGAAATATTTGCTGTATTTTGCCAGAAAGAAATTATTTTTAAATTCTAAAGTTTGCAGGAATTTCAAGGTAATTAGATACGATAGACCCATTAAAAATGGGTTATTTCGAATAATTCAAGTATCCCAGACGATGTAGATGCCTTAAAAATATCTGTTAACAAATGACAATTTTAGTTAAAAAAAGAAAAATACGAGAAAAAATATACATCTCTTACTTTATTTAAATTTTCAAAAGAAATGCTTCTTTGGGTAATTTAAATTAGTACCATAATTATAAAACTAGTTTTCAGTCATTAGTATAATAAGTCATAAATATTTTCTAACTGTTTCTGGGTAATTTTTGACTGCAGAATCCAAAATATCCATCAGATTTCGTCTATCAGATCTAGTTTTTAAGATAGTCAATGTTTACTATTTTTTAACTTATATATATTTTACGTTATAATTATTACTATTACCAGTTAAAACTAACACATCGAGTAGATTTACATACATTCATAATCACATTAGTTACTTATCACCTAAAAATTTTCTTTATACGATTTTCTAGCATGGATTTTACTAGGGTAGCCTCGCTGAAGGCTCCAACAGTAGTCGGCCATCATGTGGCTATCCCATCGTCCTTGACATCGATCTTCCATAGTTTTAATGTCCTTATGGAATCTTTCTCCCTGTTCTTCAGTGCCATCACCTAAATTTTCTGAAAAGCGATCTAGATGATTGTGGAGGTAGTGAACTTTTATGCTCCAGTTACAACTAAAAATATTAAAATAAGAAAGCATAGTTTCGATTAATTCTATGTTATTCTCTGCTTCATGATTCCCAAGAAAATTTTGTTCTACTTGAACAAATGACCACTAAAAGTTAGATTTAGTCTCATTCATTGATGAGATAAATTGTGGAATTCTAACAAGTTGCCTTATTTGAGGGCTATTAACTATACCAGCTTTTAGATTTTCCCATGCTTATCTCAAGAAACTTACTTGACAAGTACCCAAATAAATTTTCATTTCGATTTTAAGCTTTCACAAATTGCTTCATTGGTCCCAACATGACATGCAAGGGTGATAGTAAGATTTTTCTTTCGTAACCAAAGGTAACATATCCTAAATGCCAGTTAACCCAGTACTGATTTTTAGCTCTGCTGTCCCAAAGACATAAAAAATAGGTGTATTTTGTATATTTACTTTGCTGTCCAAAGAGGAAATTTACCATTTTCAAATCAAGACAAATTACCCACTGATGTTCTTCGTATTTAATTTTGTTCAATAAGAATTGAGTCATGTTTGTTATCGACACATTTTAAACTACGTTTTGAACTATCAATAAAAAGGCGCCAATCATCGGGAGTGTATTCTGACAAATCCATTTTTCTAATGGGCCGTTTGATTTGAAACTAGAGCGAGCGAGCGTCGAGGAGACCAAGAAGTGGTGACGTTATAACAGAGCATTAAATCAAATCAAATTAGCCATTCCAAACAAATGAATTGCCAGTGGGAAGGTTTGGTATATCTAAGGGTGGCGACATACGGTGTATTCTATCTACTTTACGTAAAATCATGAATAATGGATAACATTTAAATATTTTATGTCAAATACAATAAAAATAATATTCAAAAAACCCACCTATACATTTCTTTATAAATTGGCAGGCTTGGCGACTACTACTTTGAATAAAAATAGCGTCCAAGTTGCAAGATTATGTCGCTACCCCCCTTAGATATACAATAATTTCCCACTGGCACCTATTGTTTGACAGGTCGTTGGAATGCCTAATAGAACAGTAAAAAACATAACCTCGCTCTTCGTGATTATCGATTCTGGTTTGTGTCAAAACAGTGAGCAAAAAGTGAAGAAAATGTAAACACTTTTAATACTAAGGACAATGGCCCTGAAATAAAGGATATACCACAAATGCTCGCTTCGCTTTCAAACTCCATGACTGTGATTACTGGTGATTAGATCTGAGCAAAGAAAATGTATTTTCCAAACACATTTTATTTTTATTATGATGAATAATTTAAGCTATAAGACAAGAGCGGCTAAGTAATTTGTTGACTCTTTCTCTGGTCTCGATTTTTGAGATTTAAGTTTGTTTGTAGGTTAACTAAAAAGAGAAAGTAGAGACAAAGGCAAATTTCTCCCTCTTCTCCATTCTTTTGCTCCAAGAACATCGAGCTCGCTCTATGTTCTCGCTCCAAAGACACAACACTCAGAGTCTCAATTCAAACACGTTTGCAGCGCCCGGATATCTCTGATGATCAAATCAAACGCACCAAAAAAAACCTTGAAGATCGTTGCAGGATACACAGGATGTTGGGCTTCTGCGTGAAAACGAAAAATGTATATTTTTTAATTGAAAAATCTTGTATTTCATTTTAGTTTTGGCATAGTCTAGCAATACTATATTATTTTAAATAATACATGGTGGCCAAGCAATTAATTTTTTGGTGAAATAATGCAGACTAGGTTAGCAATGATTTTAAAATTATTTAAAATACACTCTTATACAGAGTGTTTTAAAATATGTAATAAATATGGTTCATTTTAAGTTCAATTTATTTACTCAAGTTTTTCATATACAATACCCTGTATATTATTTTAGCATTAAATTCGTTATGAATTTACCTATCCAACGATACCAATATCTTAACCTACTATACATATACAGGGTGTCCCATCAGTGCGTATACGATCGATAGCTGTTTTAGTATTGACGATACGAAGAAATTTATAATACAAAAGTTGTGGGACGATATTGCACAATTATTCTTAAATCTACAGGGTAGTCCATAAATGTGGGGCGAACCAAACGTATACTTTTTTTAGATCAAACCACTTGGACAACAGATTTGGTTGTTTCCACATCGATAAAGAGTTTTAATAGACTTCAAATTCCTAAAACGTTTTCTATTTAATTTATACATTGTACGACTAAACGAAAGATTATGATATTCTCAATTTTTTCAAACGCTATACCCTTTTGGACATACCACCAATTTATAAATAAACTCCCTAATTATTTATTTTGTTTGGCATTTCCTATACCCAAACGCATTTTTTCTCGAGATATTGATGGTTTTATTATAAAAATTCCAATTGGATTTTCAAACTTTGTTCGGTTATAAAACTACAAATAGGTAGGTCTAATTAATTTTCATAAGTCTTCAAATAAAACAATTCTATTTTCAACTTAATTTCTTTGAAAATAAAAATGTTTTGTTTCCTTATTGTCATCAGTAGCTAAAGTTTTAAAACATCTTGGTAATTACAGGTAAAACTCAAGGACTGTACCAAAGAGGTGTCTTTAATTAATTGCGAATTAAGCAGACTTGATGACAATTACAAGCTAAAGAGTCAAGCAAACGCAACTTTTCAGAAATAATGTACGTCATAATTAGAATTAGAGCAACACCTGTTGGGAATATTGTACATATCAAATTGGTGGGCGAATGCTACATTAACAGTTTCTTTAATCTTAGATTTTCAAAACCATGGATAGACAAAAGCAGTCTTGAATTCAAAGTGTTCGAAGGCCCTAAAATGCAAGTGTAGAAACCGATATCATTATACAACAACAAGGAGAAGGTATGATCGGCAATACTTACTAGTAATTGTTTTCATGATCTAAAATTATTTTTTAATTATAGTTTTAGAAGATGTTATAGACGACGACACTAGTGATAATGATGTCGATGACGAAGATGATATCGATGACGACGCAAACGATAATAATGTTATGTAATTTTTATAACAAAATCATATTATTGTTATAAATAATAAAAATTATTTAGAAAAATAAAACTTGTTAGAAACAAAAATAAAATAATCAAAAGTATTTTTATAGTATACAGGGTGTTGCTAAATATCATGTACTTAGAGAAAGGGTTAATTATTTGGCTTGTTACCAATTTTAATATATATTATTTTTTTTTTCATTTTTATTCATTCTCAATTTCAAAATTTGTAATTGCATAGATTATTCAATAAGAATTATATTCAAATTTAATTATTTTCCAACAAGCTTGTTAAGAATTCATGCTCCGTTTATAATTAAAAAAATATACACATCGAAATTGTATGAAAATTGCTAAATCGTGCTATTGTATCATTAATTTTGCGAAAGACAAAGTAGCATACGTTAAATAATTGTTCAAAAATGACTGCAATTTTTGCAACATTTAAATTGTTTTTGACAAAACTGTATGCAAATGTTATAATGACAATGTACCGTATAAACTTTATATTAAATCCGTTTTTAATTATAAAAAAATTGTTCCAAGTAATTACAAAAAAGTAGAGCCTTTTTCGATTTAACTCGCGCGACCGGTTCCGGTTGAAAAATGAATGACAGCGGTCCTACTGAAATTTGACAGCGGTTGTAATTTGTGACGTATTCTATGTTCTATGACATTTAACAAAATTTAAATCGAAAATAGTTGGTTGCACGTTGCACGGTTGGTGGCTTAGATAATATATGTTACAGATAGGCTACCACTGCATAAATCTATATAATGTTGATGTCGCTCTAATAAAATCATTGTTTTTTTTTCTAATGCAGGCTTTCTCGCTCATTTTAGAATCTTCATAAGTAGCGTACGTAAACGAATTGCGTTGGGTTATTTTAAATGTGAAAATATTGACTGCAAATAGATGAAAAAATACAAAATATTGTTTTAAATGATAGGTACGTTTTTATTGAACTGAAAACAA